TTTTTTTATAAATACACGAAAAAAATGTATAATGCACGAATATTCCAGAATTTTTCGCGATTTCGTGACGCGCGGGGACCTGAGAAGCGCGCGTGCATACCTGTCACGCGCGTTTCCCGCGGTGTCCGCGACTAGCGCTGTACGATCATGTGCGACGAAAACGAAAATGGTGGTCGACATGGAGCTGCAGGAGGCCAAGGATACCGTTCTTCAATTGATGAGGGAGAAAGACAGGATTGAATCCGATCTACGAGCGCTGAAGGAGATCCTAGATTCCGTATGTATCGCACTTGGCTTTACGCGGTAGCGGCAGGAGTGACGTTACCGTAGCGCGGAATACCGAGCCCGTCTCGCAAGCATGATCTGTCAGATTTTTGAAAGCTGCGTGCTATTCTCCCGGATGCGTAATTGCAGAATCACATCGGTATGGACGAGCCGCTGGTGGACTCCGAGGGATACCCCAGGCAGGACATCGACGTTTATCAAGTGAGGCACACGAGGCACAAAATAATATGTACGTAAATACATTTCTTATGTCATGGCATGAGGCAAAACAACACATCTCATATATGTGTATACATTTGAATAACATTGCGCTGTCTTACACAGGTCTTACGAACGATCACAAAGACATAATGAGGAAGATAGAGGAGGGGTTGCACACAGTTCATTCTCTAGCGGGCTCGAGCATGGCCGAAGAGCCATCGGCCGATGTACCTGGCGGTCAAGAGACAGAAACGCTGGAGCCTTTCCTCAGAGTGAATTTGGTTTCACCTGGTTCGCCAGCGGAGACTGCGGTACGCTCGTTATCTCCATGCTCTTTGCATTGACAACTCGTGCTCCGAATTACAATTTGTATCTGTTTGCTATCGATTCCCCTATCTTGCTTAAGCCGATGGCACATAGAAAAATGTTAGCAGGCATAAGCGGTAAGCGAATCGGCCAATTACAATAACAGAGAACGTAAAACAATGGTACAAGCAGTAGCAAATAAAAAATGTTGATTTGTATACTGCTTACGTCTTATGCTTGCCTTGCTTATATTTTTCTACGTTGCCTTAATCAGAAATAAGATCTATTACCATTTTCTGTTCAGGGCATCCAAGTCGAGGATCTGATATTGGAATTTGGATCTGTTCATTGCCGAAATTTCAAATCTTTGACGGACATTGGAAAGCTGGTGGAAAACAGTCGATACAAGACGATCAATGTAAAGATCAAGCGCGGTTCAAATGTTACAGTTCTGTCGTTAACCCCGCGCCCTTGGGTCGGCAAAGGCCTTCTCGGTTGCAACGTGATACCCGTAGAAGTAGTTGAAAGATAAAAAAAAGTCGAAGAGCAACATGGAACTATTTTTTTAGCCCGCACAAACTATTTTTATGTATATCTTAATTAAATGTATCCTTAATAAATGTATCTTTGTAAGTTATTACTCTCAAAATTTGCATCATGATATATTTGTCTTTTGATTTAAATCAAATTTTTTTTTATATTACAATCATTAAGCGTTTCTTACAAATAAAAATGAAGTTATACTATAAGAAGTAATCAGAATTAAAATACACTTTTTATGGATTGTGTTTTTATAATGAAGACACGTTTAAAATATTTTTGCGATGACTAATGATCTTTATCTTAGATTGCATCTTTTGCGCTTAAACATTTTACATTTTAGAGACGGAGAATATAAAAGCGAGAAAGGCAGAGTGATATTTATAGTCTGATTTTATATCGTTTCATGCATATACGATTTCGAGATATACAAAATTTTTCATATTTGGCTGATTGTAAATTTTAAAAGTGTATGTTTTTATAATGAAGACACGTTAAAAATATTTTTGCGATGACTAATGATCTTTATCTTAGATTGCATTTGTTGCATCTTTTGCGCTTAAACATTTTACATTTTAGAGACGGAGAATATAAAAGCGAGAAAGGCAAAGTGGTATTTATAGTCTGATTTTATATCGTTTCATGCATATATGATTTCGAGAAATACAAGATTTTTCATATTTGGCCGATTGTAAAAGTATGTTTTTATAATGAAGACACGTTAAAAATATTTTTACGATGACTAATAATCTTTATCTTAGATTGCATCTGTTGCATCCTTTGCGCTTAAACATATTTTACATTTTAAAGACGGAGAATATAAAAGCGAGAAGGGCAGAGTGGTATTTATAGTCTGATTTTATATCGTCTCGTGCATGTACGAGATTTTTTATACTCGACTGATTGTACATAAATTATGAAAGATTATCTAAGATTATCAAAACTTGAGATTGATTATCGTAATTGATTTTAATCACAAAATCGTAGCACGGCGGACAGCGTTCCAGATGTCACTAGTGGTACACGACACGTGCGAGACTGCGAACTGCCAACGCGTATTGTCGAGCGAAGTTCCGCTGGCGAGTCAGAGAGTCAAGCCAGGAAGTGCCTCGCAATTTTTCGCGGAAGTGGGATGACGTCAGAAACGTGTTGCATGACAATGACGCATCGCGAGCCTGCACTAGCGGATCGTGGCTCTCTAACGATCGCCGAGCACTTATCGTTAGTCCGAAGGAGCGGCTCTTGCGCAAAATCGCCAAAAGCAATTAGCGCGATATGAATCGCGGAGAGATTCCGAAGATTGTCGCGCTCCCGGCTCTCGCGGGAGCGCGTGGACGAACGATGATGAGCATGCCTTCTCTCGCCGCGCGATGACACGAACGACAAAAATTTCCGCCTCTCCGTCGTCCGCGCGGCGATGATCGTGCGATTTTACGAGCGTCGTTGAGCCGCGCGGCGAGAGAAACCACGCCGGCGATTGCGTCAGCTCTCGGCAGAGCTACATGGTGAGGAAGTTCCATTGTGATGTGGCGAGCCTCGTCTTGCGTGCGCATCGTTCAGGTAAACGGGGCATCTCATCCGCTGCTCGGCGGGATGACGACATAACCTCTCGAGAGTCGCCCGCGAGACGATCAGCCCCCCCCCAGCTGTGTCGCACATGAGACGGATCGCCCACGCGGATTTTCGTGCGATTTCCGCGTCCGAGGTCCGACGAAGGGAGCGCTAACGAGGAAAACATGACGACGGAGGAGGCGCAGGAGCGCGCGTTGAACGGCGTCGCCGAGGACGAGGACGTCGTGACACCGTGGACGGTCGCGAGCGTCAACGACTCCGGGATCGATTACGACAAGTTGATCAGTGAGTTGATCGTCCATCACGTGAGGCGTCTCGCGATTTATCGACGCCAAACTGTTGTCCTCGCGGGTGACCAGCGATTTACGCGAGGAACGCGTGGATAGGAAAAAATAATTTTTCACGGATTTTTTTTTAGGTTAATTATACCTTCGACGGGCTTACAGCGAAGCGTACTCTCTTGAAAATCGTTTGTATTTGAGCTCATTTCTGCAGGTAGCTAATGTGTTATCCTCCCCTTTTTTTTGCAGAGAAATTCGGAAGTTCGAAGATAGACGACGAGTTGCTGGCCAGATTCGAGAGGATCACCGGCAAGAAACCGCATCACTTTCTCAGACGGGGCATATTCTTCTCCCACCGGGACATGCACACCATCCTTAACCTTTACGAGCAGGGGCAGTTCTTCTACTTGTACACGGGCAGGGGCCCGAGCACCGACGCGATGCACCTGGGACATCTCATACCCTTCATGTTCTGCAAGTGGCTGCAGGACGTTTTCGACGTGCCGCTGGTCGTGCAGCTGACCGACGACGAGAAGGCGATATGGAAGAACATAAAAGTGGAGGACGCCATTAAGCTGGCCTACGCGAACGCGAGGGACATCATCGCCTGCGGCTTCAACCTCGAGAAGACCTTCATCTTCTCCAATCTGGAGCACATAGGAAACAACTCGGCGTTCTACCAGAACATGATCAGGATACAGAAGTGCGTCACGTTCAACCAGGTGAAGGGCATCTTCGGCTTCGGCGACAGCGATCCGATCGCGAAGATCGCGTTCCCGCCGACGCAGGCGGCGCCGGCGATCTCCGGCTCGTTCCCCTTCATCTTCAGGGACGCCAAGGTGCACTGCCTGATACCGTGCGCGATCGATCAGGACCCGTACTTCCGCATGACGCGGGACGTGGCGCCCAGGCTGGGCTTCCCCAAGCCGGCCCTGCTGCACGCGACCTTCTTCCCGGCGTTGCAGGGCTCCAAGACGAAGATGTCGGCGAGCGACAACTGCACGGCGATATTTCTCACGGACACCGCGAAGCAGATCAAGAACAAGGTCAACAAGCACGCGTTCTCGGGCGGCCAGGCCACCGTGGAGGAGCACAGGCAGCTCGGCGGCAACTGCGAGGTGGACATATCCTACCAGTGGCTGCGATTCTTCCTGGAGGACGACGAACGATTGGAACAAATTAGAAAAGTCAGTCCATCATTTTTTTATATTTCACGATAGGGTAACTGTCCCTATTAGTGTGTACCTGTTAGTGTGCTTTTATATTTAAATAAATCATAAAAATAAACCGGTACAAATATATAGACAAAGTATTTTTTTTATTAAGTTAATATGTATTAATTTTATAAAAAAAATACTTTGTCTATTTATTTGTAATAGACATAAAACTAAACTGGTACAAATAAATAGACAAAGTATTATTTTTATAAAGTTAATACATATTACATTCTATATATTTGTACCAGTTTATTTTTATGACTTATTTAAATATAAAAGCACACTAATAGGATACACACATAGGGCACACAAATAGGGACAGTTATCCTAGCTAAAAGAGGATCTGTATTATCGAATTTAAATCTCGAGTCACATCTCGATCGCGAGCCGAGCATGTATCCACATTATCGAATCGAGATTTAAGAAGTTAATGTGGATCCTTAAAATCGTGGCGCGATGTACAAACGACATTTTATTTCTCAGGACTATACCAGCGGGGAGATCTTGACGGGCGAGCTGAAGAAGGAGTTGATCGAGGTGCTGCAGCGGCTCGTCGCCGCGCACCAGGAGGCGAAGAGTAAAGTAACGGACGAAGTGATCAAGCAATACATGATTCCTAGAGACCTTGGCTTCGTGTCGAAAACGAAGTAAACTATTTACTTAGCGAGCTACTTGGATTCTCCCTGGAACTTTCGCTGGAGATATCTATTTAAATAATTTATTACAAGACACGCTGCAACTATAAAGTAACGTTTCACGATCTTTTTCAAGCACCACTTCTTTGTTGACAGATTAAATTAATTTTTCTATCGATCTGCGTCGATTATTAAAAGGAATCCCGCAATCCTTGTTGAAAAGTCCAGAAATTTTCCTCGGCTTTCCCAGTCGTCGGCTTTTGTAAACGCTTTTCTCAGTCGCGCGGCGAAACTATATAATGCAGGAATAAAAACTATCTTTGACTTCGATCAAATTTTGATCAACTTAATCGGCGGTATTGTTTCAATCCCCAAAAAATTGCCTGTTGAAATTTTTAACTATGTATTTAAGATAATCGTCCCTAATTTAATTTTTCTCTCTTTATATTAAATCACAAAAATTTTTAACAAACACGAAAATTAATTGTGTTTGAAAAAATCGAAGTTTGCTTGAAGGTTGCCCTCACGTTCGTTATCAGTGTAGATTAATTTTAATCTCGATAATTCTATTTTCATTTTATTTTCTCAGTTTGACTTTTTATTTTCTTCTTAGTTTTAATAATTGGAAAAAAAAAGAAGTTAAAAATGGAGACTGAAGTTTAATTTACATCGGTCAAAGTGAACATCGGCAATACATAATATCGGAGTGAAAACTGAAAAGGGGGTTCTATGTGTTTGCGATCTCCTATCTCTCTTCGCGCATGCGTCGCGCGGGGGAAACTTCTGAATCGCGTGGATTCGAACGGCTGCCGTTTACGTTCCACTTTCTCACAATTATACGAAACTGGGTCGGGCCGCGCGAGATAGAGAGGCGTGCACACACCACGGGGTGCATATACACACGGGTGTCGCGCGTGCATCCTCGCGCGGCGCGGGAACGGCCCGTAAGGTTGCGCGCGCTAGGGGGAGTCAATGAGAGAGCGAGCGAGCGAGAGAGAGAGAGAGGCGAGAGCCCGATCGCCTGAATCGGACGGGCGGCGGCGACGGCGGCGTCGTCGTCGTGCTTTTATACATAGAGAGACAGATATAAGTATGCATCGGGGAGGCACACAGGATAAACGTCGGATTAATGGGGCGCATCTGGGCGTAATAACGCGTAATCCAATGACCCGTTGACGTTCTCGCCGTAGCGGAATTCCCATCGCGCGGCTATTAAGCCGATCAATAAACCGATCTGGAGGGATATACAAATACACGGCGGGACGTGTTATAGTTATACGTGGACGGCGGCGCCGGAAGACCGCGCGATCCGCCGAATTGATCACGCGGGACGCGGGTGAGTGAGAGGGGGACGGGTGGAGGGGGGGGGGTGTGCGATCTCGAGTCGGTCGCGTGACGCCGACGGCCAATTAACGTCGCAAGTAATTATCGGTGACTGCGCGAGAGATCTATCGGATCGCGAAAATCGCGCTCGTAACGCTGCTTTCGCGCGACACAACACCACGACACCTCGCCGGAGTTAATTCTAGTGCTTGCACGCGCGCGCGCGCGAGAGAGAGGGAGAGAGAGAGAGAGAGGGGGGATGAGGGAGAGAAATAAACAAAGGGAGGGCGAGAGAGGGGACGGGAGCGAAGTTAATTTTACCCCGCGCCGATGATCCTATAAAACGAGATATCGGCCGGGCGCGAACGGAAATCGCGCGACGTCGGTTGGCCGGCGGTGACGACGGCGCGCGGGTCGCTATTAATAAACCGGCGCATGCGCCCCTAGCCGGCCGCCGTGTGTATCCGCCATTCATGCGAGTCGATTTCGTTGTTTCTGTGTGTGCAGCAGCAGCGGGCACGAGCGGAGCGGGCCAGGCAAGCCAGCCAGCTAGGCACAGCCAGCGAGCGAGACGTACGGTACGTGGTGCGACGGTGTGATAGATTCGCGCGCGGCCCGAGGTGGACACGATGCGAGCGAATTAGCTGTGCCGAGACGTACACCGCGACGTACCACGCAGTGGCAGCGACGGTGACGGCGGCGGTGGCAGCGGCGGCGGCGGCAGCGGCAGCGGCGGCGGCGGCGGTAGCGGCAGCGGCGACGACAGCGACGGCAGTTTGTCGGAGCACGCTCTCCCGTTTAGTACCTGAAACGACGATGATCCTTGGTCACGGTCCGCCGACGTAAGTTCCTCCGTTCGTACGTTCGGCAGCCGCGCAAGCAGGAGTCGTGCGTGCGCGAATACGTGCGTGCGTGCGTGCACGCGTGCATGCGTGTGAGCGAGCGGGTAAACTATTTTAGTCGCGAAAATTCGCCGCTGCCAAATAAGAGGTTTCCTCGCGCGCGCGTCACCCTCGCCGCCGCCACCGTCGCCGTCATCGTCGTCGTCGTCGTCGTCGTCGTCGTCGTCGTCGTCGTCGTTGTCGGGCAACGCGAGCGCGCGGGGCACCGCCGCCCGCGTTATCCGGCCGCGCGGGACGATATCGCGCAGAAAGGCACTGTGCGCGACGAGAGGACTCGTGTGCGTAAATCGCTCGCTCGCTCGCGCGCGCGGCCACGCGTGGCGTAAGCGATGGATTTACTCTCCTCGCGCGCCGGGCCGATAAGCACGCTCGCGCGCGCTCTGCCAAAACGCCGCTCGAAACGCCGGATCCGTCGTCCGTCCGGTCGTCCTCACCTCGGCCTTTGTCATTTGATCCCTCGTGTACCGGCCAAGTATTTTACTCGACCCCGCGTTATCGACGGCACTCTGTCGTCACACGGTGTCAAACGATCGACGGTCGAATTCCGTTCCGGAATTTATCGGATCGCTGCGCCAGACGCGCTTCCGAGAGCGGAGTCAGTATTTGCTTCGACGAATTTTTCGGAAAAAAAATCCCGAGGATGCGTGGCCGGAAACGATAGCGCGAGTCGAGAAGTTCTATCGAATGATGTAATAAAGCTTTTGATTTTTTTTTTTTTAGGTAAGAGTGAAAGCAAGTGCCATTTTGAGGATCGGTAGGAATGATGCTAATCAAATAATAGAACGAGGAACAAATTAATCAGAAGCTGATACAATAAATATTCGACGAGTAATATGGGGGCGTTTTTGGATACTCCAAAGACAGAGAAGTGCAATGAGCATGGCACCGGCAACGGCTTGCGATACGGCGTTGCCAGTATGCAGGGCTGGCGAATGGAGATGGAGGACGCTCACCGAGCCATACCCTGCTTGGAGGGTGGCCTCTCGGATTGGAGCTACTTCGCGGTGTTTGACGGCCACGCGGGCGCCCTGGTGTCGGCGCACAGTGCGGAGCACTTGTTAGAATGTATAATGCAAACGCAGGAGTTTAAGGCCGAGGATGTTATCAAGGGGATACACTCCGGATTTCTCAGACTCGACGACGAGATGAGGGATCTGCCCGAGATGAGCGCCGGCACGGACAAGTCCGGCTCCACGGCGGTGTGTGCATTTATATCGCCCAAAAATATTTATATCGCCAACTGCGGCGACTCCCGGGCGGTACTCTGCAGATCTGGACTTCCGGTCTTCTCGACGCGGGATCACAAGCCCGTGCTGCCCGCCGAGAAGGAGAGAATTCAGAACGCAGGCGGTAGCGTGATGATCCAAAGAGTTAACGGATCTCTGGCGGTTTCCCGGGCGTTGGGTGATTACGAGTACAAAAATCTGAAGGATCGAGGCCCCTGTGAGCAGTTAGTGTCGCCGGAACCGGAGATATTCGTGTTAGACAGGGACGATGAACACGATGAGTTTCTAGTTTTAGCATGTGATGGCATTTGGGATGTAATGAACAACGAAGATCTATGTAATTTTATACATTCAAGGCTGCAGCTAACCGATGATTTAGAAGCAGTTACCAATTTGGTTGTAGACACTTGTCTTTATAAGGTATTTTATTGTATTTTATATATAATATTTTATTTTATATTACACATTGTGTATTATAAGTAGTTTTGCGTAGAAAGTAACTTTGCTATATGAAAATAGTTATATTCATTTATTTCAAAGTCTGTATAAAATTATAAAGACTCAGAATTATTCTTTTTAAATTATTTTTAATTTATAAATTATAATATACAAATTTATTGCTACTTATTATGTACCTCATATATACTGAGTCATATTCTTAATACTTTATAATCATATGGAATAACTAGAAAAATTGTTGACGATGATAATCGATATATTTTTATGCAAGAATGTATTCATGGATCAATCTAAAATCTCGTTACAGGGTAGCAGAGATAATATGAGTATAGTCCTGGTAACGTTTCCGGCTGCACCAAAACCAAATCCTGAAGCGCAGAGGCAGGAGGCCGAGTTGGAAATGGCTATTGCAAGGAGAATTAAAGGTTCTTTAACTTTTCCATATTTTAATTCACTATATTCTTTATGTTGTTGCATTAATTCGAGATCACGATGCCACATACATCACGAAAGTGACATAATAAATTAATGTTTGTCGATATAAAATAGATGTAATGACAAATTCTTCCTGGTGCATATTTAACGGAAATTTACACAATCGTGAAGAATTTGATTAGTGCCAAAGTATATATATATATATATAAAAAACTATTCTTTAGCATAAAAATATTATGAAAGTTGTAAAAGATCTATTTTTAGCAATACAAATTCTCTTATTCTTAGATATTTACAATGCTGCAAATACTGCAGCTCTCTATGGAGGAAAAAAAATAGAGACCAATCATAATGAATAGGATGAATGAAACCAGATAGTGCAATAGCTTGCAATAGTTTGCATATGATTACAAGTGATGTGTATTAGACAATTAAAAGTTTAGTAGAGAGAAAGTAATAGTTACAATGCTATTAGAAAGATGTTATCGTTGATAAATTGATTTATTATTGTGTTATTAGAGGTGATGTGTACCATATTCTAAAAATTAATATAAAGTATTCGGAACAGCAATATTTTCAATGTATAGATATAATCTAGATCTAATCTAGTCTGAAAGATCAAGAGTTTTATTTTCAGAATATAATCTTATATTTACAATCTACATATCACATGTGCCACAAGATATAAACTAGTCATTACACGCAAAGCAATCTTTTGCAAAAGTGATAAAAAAAAAATGTTTTCCAGTGTTTCAATGTGCGTTACATGGCAATAATAACAACTCGAAATCCTTTGAAATGTTGAACTTTTAACTCCAACTTGCGATTCGGAAACAAATGTAAATGTTGAAGCTTGCACAATCAATTGTACAAATTATGTGTAATAATAACCACACAATGTGTGACTCCCACTTCTTAACGTTGCACTTTGTGATTAATAAAGTCGATGTCTCGTATACGATATATCTGTCACATGAGAAAACGTTTATAAGTCGTTGATGTATTATATCGTCCTATGTGTGCAAAAGCGCATATATATATTTGTCTCACTTCAATAAGTTTTATCACATTGCATCTGTTATTTTCCAACAAAATTTTCTATGAGCTCGATACAAGTGGATTATCAATTTTCTTACGAATTTTATTCAAGGTATATAACGCATATAGTACGTGAAAACAGATGCAATAATTCATGTGCGGAAATATATCTTTGTTTCCTCAGATCTCACGTTATTAAAATTGTGTATACCTGACTAATGTAACACATATTTCAAAGATACTAACTTGTGTTATATTGTTAAAAATATGAGAGGTCTGTTATCAAGAGAATTAAATTATATTGTAATATAAATATTATTGTTTCCTGAATATTAATATTGTCATAAAAATGCGTAAGTTGCAGAGCTTTAAAGATACAAGTACAATGTTTCATGTATAGTACATAAAACCATTATAAAACAATCCGCATAAGAATATATGAATATATATATGTATATATATATATATATATATATATATATATATTTATAACAATATTCCATCAGAAAAATATTTTATAGTAATCTTAGCCGTACGTGATTGATTAAAAATGTTTCATCAATGCTATATTTAATGGGACATGAAAGTTTTTGAGATTTCACGATGAGTCATCTCATTCGGTTGAAAATGCGTTTGTTTTTTCCGACAGTACTAGAATAGAAATACGTATTTTATTAAATTAATCGAAAGAAGCTACATGTGTGGATTATACTTCGATACATCTCGGCATTGTCCATCTGGGAAGGCTCATCGTGAAACCTCACAAACATCTGCGCCCTATTTATGACCAAATTAAATCAATGTGTTTCATATCACTTTCTTAAAGACGAAAGAGAAGAAAGAGAGATTAGTCTAGCGTCGTAAAATTAGTATACATTATTTTGTCATGTAATGACAGAAGTTATCAATAAATATTATGCGAAATTGTTGCTGAAAGATGTGTTCCACCCTTGGAGTTGATAAATTGACCTAAAGTTCAAGTTTTTTTTAAGTAGAAACTGTATACGTATATACACGAAAGAGAATTGTTCCTCTCGTTTATGTTTGTTCCTCTTTTAAAAGTTCATCTAAACCGCGTCATAAGGTAGGTGCAAATTTTCTTACGAGACTCTAACATTGTCTGTTATATACTTTTGATATCGACTTTTAAATAGCAATGCATTTCTTATGGAGGAACATTGTAGCAGATAATTTTTTTTTCCTTTTTTTTTGCCCGTAATATCCGAAGGATACACAATTCCAGAGGTGGACAATTTGCATCATGTATTGAAAACTCGACTAAAATGTATCTACTTACGACAAGAGTATGTTTCCATAAGAAATGTAATGTACAATCTACTCTTCCAGTCCTAAGTAGATGCATGTACACAATGGTATTGTTGTATATGCGTGTGTGTATGTGTGTATGTTTCTATTAATTATTTTACATTTGCTAATTATATTCCCGCAAGCATCTTGATGCATGTATTATGAAAAACCAATTGTATTATTAGTATTATTATAAATTGACGTGTACAAGCATAGTTTGTATTTTTCCAATAGATTATCACACGTTTTTAGTCTTATTTAAAAATTATTGTTAATAATGAAAAATACATATGGAAATGTACACTTATAATCACACATGACTATGTAAAATGACTGGTTCTCTAGAAAGCAGATAATCGCTATTGCTATGAAAAATCTGAATTATAAATATTGAATCGTACATATTAAGCACATTTTGTTAAGCATATGTTTTGGATAGTATTTAGTTGCACATAATCAATGAAAAAAAAAACACGTAACTAGCTACTAAATTATTTATAAATAATTAATATCTATATATAAGTTGAATAATTTTTCAATGATAGACGTAAGTTACCTTAATACTTTTCTTCTGTATTTGTAGAAATAGTCGCCCAGGAGGAGGACAAGAGTGAATTTGACTATCTAAAAATGCTGGAACTTCTTAGAGGAAGCGACCAAGATTTTCCTTACCTGCCTCCCGGTGGTGGTCTTCACGCTAAGTAAGTTTAGTAACACAATTTTTAAGAATAATATATAATCATACTGTTCAAATATACCAAAGTTCTTAGTAAAGAGTATTTTAAACTTTTTAACATTTTTTTTTTTTTTTTTTTCGTTTTACTGCTAGTCATTATTCAAAAGGGTTAGAGTTTCTGTACACTTGAATATTACGTAATTTTAATATGAGAAATATGAATCGTACTTACGTAATATGTATACATATATATATTTTTATTTTGAGGACACTTTGGAGTATATTTAATATTTAGTTATATCTGTAAGTAGAAATTGAGAATAAACTTTATGGTCTCCGTAGTGAGATCACGGTAATGTTAGCGTCGCTACTACCAAATACAACCGAATCGACAGTCTTCTACCAATTTGGCTAGATTCCAGAATATAATTAGATTTCTGTCGTGAGAGCCCAATAATTTTATACTTGACCTTCTCCAAATGCACCTGAATGTATTAGTTATTTTACTCTCGGCGATTTCGTAATGCTACAACGCTCATCTTGTATCTCTTCTTTCTTTCAGGCAACCGTTCATCGAGAAAATGTTTCGAGAAATGTGTCCCAGCAAAGCGCATTCTGTAAGTGTTGGATACATCCCTTTGACATAACTAACCCTCGATCGTTTTCTAAACTGCATCAAATGTACAATTATATAATAATAAGACATGTTCCATATTCCATATAAAAGATGCAGAACTTACCGTGGACACGTTTATTTGAATAGTAATCCCTAATGTAAGAAAATCCTATCAGTGTTAAAAAAAAAATTACGATGTTGTACTATAAACTGGTGAGTCTTGACAAAACTAAGTTTTCGCAAAGTCTCGTAAGGCATATAATTAGTAGGACCTTAAAGTGACCCACGATTGGCACAACGTAAATTAGTGCGTAAATTAAAATATGCATTAAATTAATTAAATATTATGTACTTTTGTAAGTGTTTCTATCCATCTATCTATACTTATTTACTTAAAAAAACTCAAGCTATGCAAAAGTTTTTCTTATCCATCGTGTAACTTTAGTAATCGCAACAGCCACTGAAAAAACATCCGGGATTATATATCTATTTAAGGGATATATATTTCTCTTGATTTATTTTTAGAAATATGGTTGAAACTTAAGTGCTGTATCAATAGTGAATACATACTTAATTAAGTTCCACTTTTTTTGTGCAAATTATTGATTTGCAGAGTTAAGCCAGTTAATAATTTTAATGGAATAATAGTACAAGTGAAATATCAATTATGAAGGGACTAAGGATAATTATAAATATTTACTTTTATTTTTAATTTTAAAATACGCACTCCCTATTTTGAATCATATTTTACTTAGAGTATGAGAAAGTCGAACAAACAAAACACACTTTATATGCAAATACAAGAAACATTTTTATGATTGATGGCATATTTCAGGAGAAAATGTAAAGCAGATTGTGTTATATACTTTACAAGTGATTCCAATTAATCATTGGCCTTTTTTCATCGTTTAATTATTTTTTTACAATTATTATGATTGTTGGATTTTATACAATTTCTTTTTTCATTCGGGGAATAAAAAAATGTCTATATTACAGTTTTTTATAAGCAGAGGGTTAAACAGATGTTATACTAAAAATTAGATGTACAAGCTGGAATAAAAATGGAAAACTAGATAATACGAAAAACTAATCAAGGTGTAAGTTTTTAATATAATATAAATATGTAAAAAAAAAATGTAGAGAGCATAATACGTTATCATGTATGCATTTATTTGGAGATACTTTGAAAAGGAAAATGGTATCCTTAAATATTTAATTACTGTGAAATTTGCACAATAGACTAACTACTATACATTTTATACCGCTTGCATAGCTCTTTCACACGCGAACAAGATTTAACGTTACCTTCATCAAGAATTGTATTTTCCTCAAAACTGTACAAAAATTTCTGTATTACAATACATAATGTGGTACATCATGAAGCGAAAGATTTTCACAGATTAATAAGAACAGAAATTTAAATAAGAATGTAGTAGAGTATTTCTGTCATACCCTCTTGCCATGTTGATAAAAAAAAAATGCATAATTGCGATACATAATTATATATTTTTGTAGATCTAGGAAAAATTAGCGCTCAGAATATATATCTACTTCTCTGATCGGTGTTTCCTACTCTTCATTTATAATCAGTTCCCGGTGTTTATGGAATTATCGGTACCAATGTACTTCATGGAACACAGAAACTTTTTACATGAGAAGAGTAGGGAAAAAACTGATTGTTTAGTTTAAAAATTATCAGCCCTGTACATACACATATACACACACGAAAGAGTTGTCTGAGAAACAGTGTATTGATATTTTCTTCAAGTAATTTTAAAGATGAGAACTTATATATATATATATATATATATATATATATATATATATATATAAAACACACTTGGCAAGGAGGCCTTGAGTTTAGTTTCCTATGTAATGTTATTTCATAAATTTTATATTTGGCCATCCAATCATAATAGATGAAACTATTGTATTTAACGTTAATGCGGAAATACGATTGATATATTATTGAATTTGCAAGTCCAACACAATTGTATACAATTCAATCGAGTCCAGTGATAGAGTAAAGCATTTATCACTCATGCGTATATAATATAAATACATAAATCAGCTTTATGAATAATGGAATAACGCATATCAAATATTAAACTCTTTGACTTTTATAATCATTTTCCACGCATATAAAAAAACGCATCATTAAAGAATATACGTCGAGTGGAAACTATACGTCAAGGCCATCCTCGTACGATGAAGTATACATGTGTACCAAAGTATATTACCGTTTCTGGTTATGAAAAGGAATGTCCTGAAACTAACAGAGTTAACACGCAATCTATTATCCGTTTTTTTAAAAGTAATATATTAGAAATAAAAATATATAAATCTTATACAGAGAACGGATTAACCCTCTATTTTTACTAACGATGTCTCATTAAATGGAAATGTGAAGATACTAATATATTTCGCCTGGTACTTCTCTCTCAAACTTTTTCTTTCAAATCTGATGAAATGGAACGCGAAGATTCATGAGATTTCACGATGGGTTTTCCCAAACGGACGCTGTGAGATGTATAAAGATGGTACAGTTATACATATATAATCATCTTCGCATGATGAATCTGAGCAAGAGACTTTCCTTCTAATATTATTATTATTATTATTATTAAGAAATAACTATCTTGGATCATCCAAGAGAAACGGCACGCCATGAAAATCTCACGAATTTTCGCAATCTATTAATCACTAATATCATTTTTTAATTTTATTAACAAAAAGCTACACGAAGTATTACGAGATTTTCACAAGATTGTGAATTACAGAATAAACATATTACAGATATACGTGAAGCTTTATAATTTCCTGAAGTGATTGAAGTCTAGTTAGAAACATTATATAGATTATACCTAGACTACGAATTTATAAAAAAATAGTTTGATATAGCTGAATATCTCCTTTTGCTGAGCTTTCGTGCCTCATCTAGTGACAATGATACAACGCCCATATTAATGGTATGTGTTTTCAACTCGTATTGTAAAACAGTTTATAGAGTTATACAGGATATGCTTTTAAATGAAAAAAATTAATATTCGGTGGCATAATGCATTATCTTAATTGGATAGTAATTTACACGAACGCTACTGATCATGTTACGTTGTAAGCCATTTATTTCATAAAAATTTGAATTAGAATTTTAACATGGGTTATCTTCCTGTAGTGGTAAATTCTTTTTACATATAGTCCTATTCTGCGCACTGAATATAATCCACATTATTGAGCCAAACGCTTCATGAAATTGGAAAGAATTCTATGAATGAGCAAAAAAATTTTTAAGCATTTTCGCATTTAAAAATATTCCGTATACTTTTTTAACGTTTTAATATTTATGTGTATATTCTACAGAATAGGACTATTAAGACAAAAAAAAATTGTGCAAAATATATACTTTCATAAAAACAAAAAAGGTAGTATTTTATTAATGTCACTGTGTTTTACTTACGTAAAATTATTAAGTTCAGTTGGCATAATCGTAGCGATGGGATTAGGTGATACTGCATTTATTTCTTTTTGTAATCTTGTAATTGTTTTAAATGTCATTCACAATTTATTAATTGTAGAAAACTGTAGAAAACTTATCTATAATTTTATCGTTGGGAAATTGTTGTAACATCGCGTATATACATTCTATTACAATCATTTTACACAGTCGTTGAACTTTTTAAATTTTTGCAGAAATTAGCTTGCAAATATAAAACAGCTTTCTCGTAATAATTCACTTATTATATTAGTGCTTCACAGATGCTAGATGATCTGTGGCATTTGAAAGATCATTGTTTTTAAATATCTGTATCATGTTATGTTTTTTCTGATCGAATCGTCGTTGCACAATGCTTTTTTCATAGTAAGAAATTACGTTAAACAAATTGTTTTAAATTTTACTTCGAAATTCTTCCTTGATGAATCCGGAAAGAATGTTGTGTACCTCGACACTAATCTGTTATATCACAAAATATTCTTTGCTCTTCTAGTGAAGCTCTTTTCAGCCTTTCTTTATGCTTCCGTTAAGCCAGAGCACAAGTCTGCCGAGGGACACGCAGATTCCCACTGACCAAGCTTAATAACAGCTGTTTAAAATTTTAATACATCACAGCCTCTATACTTGATCTTTCTTTCTTTTTGATTTAATTGTAAGAGAAAGTCATAAAAAAAATTCATGTATATTGTTATTTTCAAAAAAAAAAAAAAAAATGGAACCTTTAGAATTAACACACATTTTTATGCGGCGTTCGAAGTATACAGACAGAATTAAGGAAACAGAGAAAGGAAGTTAAGATCTTACCTGTCGTATACTGCAAAATTTTTGGCGTTTCAAATGCGGTATAATGCTAACTATTTTAGATTATATTATTATTGTCGTGTGTAGAGTCGTCGACATGATTGTACAATACTTGTCTATGTTTATTGTACATAATACGCATAATTAAAATGATTTGATGGGAACAAGTCTTTCGTTTTTCGTCATAAGTAAGCGTATATGATTTTTTTATATTACCTATTTCCAAGAAATTGGCTGAATATAAAGTACGTTGTACAGTAGCTACTATATCGCTACTACAACGAACTGGGATTATGTTTCTCTAATTGTTTCATTCTAATGTTTTGGCTTTTTTATAGTGCTCATTCAGAAAAGGAATCTGATAACATGGTAAACTGATAATCGTCTGTTGCACAAACAGACGCGGATGTTGAACGATTAATTTTTTTACAATGAAAAATTATGTATTTATAACCGTAGTATCAATTGTGATTAATTACAAAATGTGTACGATAGAGTGCCGGTAAACATGATAAAGTTATAAATAATTACCTTTATAAACAAGAAAGTAAAAAATTAAAAAAAAAAAATAAATTAGAGTATAAAGAAGATCTGAATTTATGATATAGGTTTCAATAAAAAGTTCAGAGTACATTTTTTTTGTATTGATGTTACGTACGTTCTTTCTTAGTTACATAGTTATACGTTTTCCCTAGAAATATGCTATTGATATTATCAATAAGTCGATATAAATATGTCCAATTCTTGGTAAAATATTTTCAGAAGTCTGTATTTAACATTCTGATATTTATCTTTAGACTTTAGGCAATACCACTTTATAATTGTGTAGTGTTTTTTTCTTGCATGATTGAAATATGCAAACGTGTATCTCAGTATTATTATCCTCCAGGGAAAAGTGATATTTTATTTATTAGAAGAGGACTGCAAAATCAATATATAAAGAAAATAAAACTGAAGTCATATGTACATTTTTTATTTATGAATGTTTAATATCTAAGTTATTTTTAGAAAAAAGTGCATATGTGTAGTATTTGGGTCCTTTAGGCAGATATCTGATTAAATATTATATTCTTATATCGTGTCTTGAACAATCTGCGAGTTGTTTTAATATACACTGTGTTTCATTAATATTATTCTTTCTGTCATACTATTGTCACGATACTTGACAAGCTTATAGTTAGAAATCAATTTTTGTGTTGCATTTATTAATGTAATGGATGGAATCGTGATGTTATTAATATTTGAAAATGATAATGCTATTTTAATAATTATTCTAATCAATCATCATTGATGATATTCCAATGCATGTAAGTATGTAATTTACATTATTTATTTACAATATTAATTACATTATATAGTGGTATTGTTAATTATGTATATTTATGTATTAATTCAACAAACTGAATTAATTAAAATTATATATTACATGTAGAAATATAAGCTCAAGACAGTTAAAATTAGATTAATAATGTTAAAGCAGTTTCTCAAATCGGAAAATTTAGGAAGCTTAAATATAGATGTCAATTATAATATTAATATCATTGTTATATTCTTTTATTATCTCTTGTAGAGAATATAAAAGAAATTGTACGAAATTTTTCATAGCTATAGTACATAACAAATTAGTTAAAAAGAACTTGATCAAAAATACAAAAATACTTAGGTATCCATAAGAAACGAGATAATGTGTGCGCGCGATTGTTAAATCTTCAGGAAAAGATGTACGTGCAAAAATTAAAATACTATATAATCATGTGCTTACAGAATTCACAGAGCAGTTAATGTATACAATTACGTATACGATTTCATACATGTGAAATTGCAATAGACTGGCCAATCCAAAAGTGGTGAAAATGAGATATCTATCATCAAGAGTCATAGTGGAGTGCTACATGAGCAGAGACTGTGCAGAGTGGTAATTGAATGTCAGTTTCTTTTTTTTTTTTTAATCGTTACACTTAGCGTGATAGAAGAACACATTGTACAAAGCATTTTCTCTTCAGCTAAGGGTAAAACGGAGAAAGATTGGGAAAATTTTTTTAATATATATGTCAAACATTTTTTTACTTCTTTTATACATTGAATTATATACACGGAACACCTTCATATGATGTGTTTAGTTTTAGTAAAATTTTATCACAACCTCTCAGAGATAATCATTACTTTTGAAGTAAAATTATGCTACTGATAATTATGTAAAAATGTTAAATCTAAGGCTATTCTTGATTAGTAAATTAGAAATTCAATATATTGATCAAGATATTAACATAAAAAAGGCTACTCTAGGATTTTATACATATATTTTCTTTGGATTGATATACATATGTAAAATTATATTTTCCTTTAACGAAAAACTGAACGTAGCATAATTCACATGTAAACACAATGTATATTATGTAATTATAGAAATTGATGTACTCTTCACTTGATATTCGCTGTACGATTGTATGCATAACGGGCTTCAAAGCATAATTAATTTTTTTATATTATATTTGATTTGTGTATTGCACTTCTTATGCAGTTAAAAAACAATTTTATTCGATCGTAAATAAAATAAACTCTTTGCGTTTTATATAAAAATAGAAAACGATGCTTATATATTCCTCTTCCTACTATATAAGACTTATTTATCTGGCAACTACTTCTTCTTGGAACTGCCTGTGGCTAGCTTATTAAATATTCAATTATATGTATATATATATATATATATACGTGTACATTTACTTATATACGAATACAATACGACAAAGATTACTTTTTACATGTTTATTCCAAAATATTGAAGATGATACAAAAGATCTAAAATGGTATGGACATACCGTTATTGATATATTTAAAAAGTATGCGCGATTTTTCTTATTGATATTACTTAAAAATATACAGCAATAACAATAAAAAAAACAGATCCTAGTTTACTCGAGGTATCACAATGCATCTTTGTTCAGATAAAACATAGCCATTTTATAATAAGATAAAAACTGTATATTCGCCCATCCACGCGCACCCGCATACGTATGAAAAATTACGCTATTTCACATCTTTTATTGTTGTACATTTCCAAAAATGTGATTTAAATTGTTGCGCTTTACAATACAAAATTGCCGTTGTCTATAGTCCAACTTAAATTGTCTAATTCGAAATGTACTGGTAACGCTTGTTTTAACGCTAACGAACAGCAAACACGTCAAAATAATTACATATACATATAGATACACGTTGTTAAATAAGATATACAATTGTGCTAAATCATACATAGATGAATTTTTGTTAACATTTCAATATTGTAATTTGTCTATTTGTGAAATTCTTTTTTTTCCTATCTGTCATATGTTCATAAAACGCTGTAACATTATTCAGAAAATTGGATTATATGCATAAGAAAATTATGCATTGTATATTTATAATGAATTAGTCTATTTGTCTACCCATAACATCTTTTTTTTCGTGTTTGTATTCTTACATTGTCTAAACAGGTGACTCGGTTTCATAAGAAATTTCAATGTTCGATGATAAATGTTTTACAGAAAACATTTTCATCGTATAATTACGAAATACTTTATTTTAACTACAATTACGTTGACATCACAATCGTCAACAAATTATTAACTACCTTTCACCCTAGTCTTCGGGACGTCGGACGACCAGGAATAAGTTACTATCGCTTAATTTAAAAAGTATGACGTTTAATTCACTGTGTACAAAAATAAAATAGAATTATTTGCAGATTGACTGGACTAAATGTTTAACTTGAGAAAAACCATTATTAAGCATCTACTTTGTTGTAGAACTGCGTGCTAGTTTCTTATGGATGATCATATATTCTACAATGACCACAATACTATTTATCAATATGCTCTCGTTCGAATACACTTAACGTAATCAAATCAACTAACGTAATGTACTTTACAGTTCCCTTATGCTATTAAGTATAAAATGTTTAACTAATCCCATTTTTATGCTATAGTAAAAAATATACAATAGTCTCTCACGTGTAATAAATAATATAATGTACATATCATCCACAATTAATCAAAATATTTCAACACTCTCATTTAGCGTATCAAATAAATACATTAATTTATCATTTAGCAATGAACGCATCCGTGTTATTGTAAAGTTTTTTGTCGCCAAACACAGAATAGCAAAAGATTGGTAACAATCTCAAGATATTTTACACAATCGGATTTTAATGCTAATCCTGCATCAAGTGAATTCCACAAATGTAAAATATATTAATGGCATATTTAAGAGGGAAGCATATCTCATTTGTATGGATATATAATCGCATCAAATGCGATGAGCATAGAAAAGGCAGTCATTGCACATTTATATGTTCTACCATAACAAATTTTATAATATATCAGTAATGCATCTGTGCTAATCAACATACACATCTTGTTTTGTAGACCATTAGTATACATCTTAATATATCACAATCTAATCTATTATTTTCACGGTGCAATTGAAATATAAAATGTCTGTAAATTTATTAAACAGCCAGTTTATTAATCCTTCTCTAGATTACTTTAGATTCGAGCTAAGTTAGATATTTAGATCTAACGGAATCTGTTCACAGCGTATTTGAACTACTCTGAGTGTCACGTGTAAGTTAAGAAAGTCACATATTTACATGTGTTGATTTCACAATCATATCCGTGTCCCCGCGGGTATATATATAAATATTAACTATATAAATATCTTTTTTCCTTTAATTCGGAGCACCTCTCCGGCGTTTCTGCCCTTTGATTTGAAGAACTCGAAATGTACAAGTGAATACGTGCTTATAACGAAAGAAACTTACTGGTCGAAAGGAAAAAGTTATTTGTTAGTCCAACCTCGCCAAATCGAGGCGATACTGGCCGCTGCACTCGTTACCAAGCCACCAGCGACACTCTGATGCACTTGCATGCTAGAAGATTGTTGACTGATCATAGCACCGGAAGCAGGTACTGCCATTTCGGGACAAGCGATACTTGGTACCTGCATACATACAGCGTCGTGAATACATCGGTCAATCGTGTTCTCGCCACTCTCGAGAACCTCGTTACAGAAGCGTACGTAAAAACTTACAGAAGTATGACTTACAGCCTCCCATCCCCAGCACAAGTCCTCCTCGTCGGAGGCTGAATCGTCGCTATTTTCCAAATCGGGAACTAACTGATTGTGAAGTTGTGCTATTACAGACGGATCAACTTCCATTGGTCCAATTCTGCAATACACATGTATACGTAATTTTACGATTCTATCTATTGAGATCGTCGTGAAATTATTACGAATTACCTTCCGAGATCACTGATTTCAGTATTGAGCAAATGCATCAGGTTTTGCAATGTATGCATGGGATGTAAAACTTCTATTTTGGTATTTTGCGTAAGACACAAATGTAGTACGTTACTATTTAACCTTGCCACCTTCCTAGCAAATTTTTGGTCCGACAACTCATTCCCGCAAAACTCCCTGAAAAGACATGAGCGGAATGAAGAAAATATCTCACTGTTTGTGTTAATATATTATCGTACATTATTTAAAGCTAGCATACACAAAACAGACATAAAAATAGATTTAAAAATGTCTGGAACTCAATGAATATATTTGCAAGTATGAATATATTTGGCGTATATAGCTCTCTTAATACGTACCCACAAGTAAGTTTGTACGGTAATCTTATGTTAACGTAATAGGCAAGAACATTAACCAGTTGTGTAGCGTACGTCAAAGCAGCACTAATATTATATGCTGGATTGTGCATCGCGTTTTCCTTGTTCGCACCTGGCACCCCATCTTTATTTGCTGCAACTAAACGTAACACGTTTATACATATGATGTATGTAATGTCGTTAATCAATATAGAAATAAATGCAATTACCCCAAAGGGAGTAAGCGCTGTAGTCTCCCGTCGCTGGCAACGTTGGTTCAACTATACAATGATGGATTTCCAGAGAACTTTCTTTCTCGCTAATCCATCTACCCCGTACGTATGATGTACCTGATGCATCCGCTAATGCGCTAGTAAGGATATCCGAAGTGGCACTGTCGCTGTCCTCGCTGCTGCACAAACTATAAATATAGTCGTAATATTAGTAATCTTCGAGAACGAAATTTTTAACAATGCTCTTATCAATAAATAAATTGAATTAGTGATTAACTAATTCAATTTATTCTTATTTGTTCCTAACTATTTTCACATAACTGCATGTGTTTTACATGCACAATATGAAAATATGGGTAATCATAAGTATTACATTTAAAATATTTTATATATATATCGTTGATAGAAGTGAAACAAAAAATGCTAATTTTCAAAGTCATGAAATATATATATATATATATATATTTCATATATATATTTCAAATATATATATATATATATATATGTTTTAATATTAAACTCAATAAATATTTAAAATATTTGCTTAAAGAAATGTTTGATTAGATAAAGATTCAATACCTCCTATTTGGTTGGACCTTAGATAAGGGAAAAATGTACTGAATCAATTGTTTGGCAGCAGTTCTGATAACTTTCTTCAGCTGCTCCCTTTTTCTATCCACGGCTTCCTTTTGTTTCTCCTGCTTAACTTTCAAGCCATTAACATAGCGATGCAGTTTCTCTATTCTATCCTCGTGCCGTGGCACTCGAAGAGTCAACTGGGAGTTGACATCCTTCAAAACGTTCAGACGTTGGTTACCTATATGTGAAAAAAAATAAGTAATAAATGGAAGAAATAATTACAACAAATACCAATTAATTGCAAATTTTCCTACCTCTACTGATACTTTGCCTCGTTTCGTTCACTAGAGACTGAAGCAGTCTCACCCTTTCCTTACACGTATTTATATCACAAATCTGAAATTACAAATTTAAGATATGAGAGGCATTACATCAGTAAGTAAACATATTGCACAAGAAAATATTTTACTTGATGATTGCACAATTGTAATATATCTTTGTTTCAAATTAAGTGACAATTTTCTCTATAACGGCTTTTGGTTTAATTATATTAAAAAGACCAACTGTCCACAGGAAATTTCCTCGTGTTCACGAATTAAAATAAATGTTTATCTATAAACAATAGCATCCATTGTTCCTTTACATACGCATAAAAAGCTTCAGTTTAGAGCGGAAAATGATTATTTTCTATAGTACCAGTTTATCTCGTTGCTTGTGCCTCTCCAGAGCCTTCATGCACTTCTCCTCTAGCTGAGCCCGAGCGGCCTTCAGCCGTACCAGCCGCATCTGTTTGTCCGCGAACCTAAATAACATCATCAGTAATTATAACCACAGCTCGAGCGTATTTCCGCAGAGCGACGTCGCTCTCGCGTTAGACGGCTATAACGTATTCTCAGAAATAACGCGCTGCGCAACGGCCTCGAAAGACTTAAAGACGCAAAAAGAAAAAAAAAAGCGTCGAGTCTTTTCCGCTCGCGGCGAGCGTGGTGAGAGAGAGATAGAGAGAGAGAGAGAGAAAAAGAGAGGTGAGAGAAATGTAGACGCACCGTTCCGAGTAGACGGTGTTCGAATGTATAAAATCCCCATTTTGGACGCACTGGCGGCAGTAAAAAATACGACGGCTGTTATGGCACAACGGGCACTTGAGCAGGTTCATGCTCAGACGGCTCGACGCGTCCTCCAGCTCGGACGAGAGCTGAAAGTCCGCGGGCGCGGTGCAGGAGCCATCGGAGCTACTCGTCGCCATAACCAACAGCGGCGACAGCGACAGTGACAGCGGCGGCAGCAGCAGCAGCAGCAAGCAGCAGTAGCAACAGCAGCAGCGGGAAAATGACGGGCCCTCCTCCTCGTCCACCGACTGGCTTGTGTTGTGTTGTGCCTCATCAGCTGATCCCTGGGATATTTACTCGTGCCGCCGCGCCGCGCCGCCCCGCGCGCCCTCACCCCCGCCCCCTCAACCCGCCGTCCGCGTCCTCGCGTCGTCTCTTTCACGCTGACGCGTGACGTCACGCGGCGATTTCCAACCAATGCCGTTCGACGTGGAGGGAATTAAATGTTACCTTCTTTCTCTCTTCCTTTCTTTCTTTTTTTTTTTTTTTTTACAGAAACCTGTCTTTTAGAACCCGTTTGTCGTCTTTTGCTTCTTAATTCTTTTCTCATCCCTTTCATTGAATTAAAGCAATTTCTCTTTTCTTTAATTTGGATATGGTTTTCTGTTGAGTTCCCGTTTTGTTTTATTAATATAATTATGAGCGAAACGACGATCAGAGCTAATTAGTAATTATAATATTGTTCAATATAAGAACGACACGAATTTTCGAGGCTTTTTGATTTCGAATTTTATCGTCGATCTTTAATTGCGAAACTGAAAGACAATTAATGAGCCCGGGTGATTATAGCTCTTTTTACATATTTAAAATTGTCTTAAATATGATGTCTTTGAAAAGCTATATGTTTCATTGACTGTGTGTGCAGGATGAAACTTTCAAGGATTAATATCCAGAATATCAGACTTAGAATTTTAAATATAAAGTCAGACTACGAATACCACCCAGGGTGCCTAAACATCGCGTTCAACTAGAATAGAATTGGAGATTGTCCAACAGCAACGATATTCACGCTTGGAGTGCTGGCTGAGGCAAAATAAGATGCGAAAAGACAGATCTTTGGAAATGTGGCGCGAAAAATAAATCGCAGTGTCGAAATTAGCAACGCTCACGTACGGCTTGAGATTAGATTTGCTATTTCCTTATTTTCTTAATTCTGTTGTCGTAATCGAAGGTATAACTTGCGCCTTTAAAAAGAATTAAAAAGATGTACAGAATATATCTATCCAATCGAGGAAAGATTTCTATTTAAGAATTTTGTGCAATTGTTTTTAAGAAATAAATAAAAGAGAATACATAACTTAAAATAATAAAATGTTAAATAAGGAACTTTGCAGAATAATTTTGATTAAAATATTTGTGCAAAATTGAGTTAGTTAAATATTCATTATAAGTTAAAGTTTATTCCTATTTTAACTTTAATTTTTTAGAAATTGCATTAATTTTTTATCTTCTTTAATTTTTTTTAATTAATTGAAATGTAATTTTTTCTAATTTCCTTTTTTTTCTTATGACGTCTTTTAAATTTCTTTGATAAATTATTTTTATTTTTTTAAAATAAGGATTTAAAATATTTAATATCTACTTTTTTATATTTTAATATCTACTTTATTTAATATCTACTTTAATATCTAAAGGATTTAATATCTACTTTTTCTTGTCCAATCAGAAATAAATTAATCACAAACATTACATTATAATTGGTAGTATTATGTGGTGACTGTCTTAACTATTTGTAAATGAAGCTTAAAGTTGGCGGCAAAATTTGGAAGGGACAGCTCGACAGCTGATAATGCTGATATATCTGACTGGGAAACATGGCGAAGTTAACCCATGTCATGTGGGGCTTGTCATCAAATTTTGCGGCAAATCGCTATTTCTCTCGATTGTTGACGTGAGTAAATTTTATCTTTCTCAATGGCGTGTAATTAAATCTTTCACGGTCGTTACACGTAACGTGTTGCTACATAACCATAAAACGCGTTGCATATATAATTATGCATATTGCAATATACTACACTGTATATACATTTTGTATAGATTTTAACGTACAGATATATTTTATGCATACTACTAATAAAACATGCACAAATTTTATTAGTAATTGTATCGAAAAATATTAAAGAATAAAAAATATAACCAAACTGTCACATTTAATGATAGAGAATTTCTAATATATTTCCAGTTCACCTTGGTACAATGTATCCATGGTTACATCATCCCAGGGAGTGTCAACAAACACTGCTGTCAAGTCTGCAGATGACTTGATTATCAGTGACAGTTGCGTGAAGCGCTTGAAGGAAATAGCCGATGGTGCGTATCTGAGAATCACCGTGGAGGGCGGTGGTTGCTCCGGATTTCAGTACAAGTTCGACTTGGATCCGAAAACACAGGGGGACGACAGGTGTGCATTGTCAGACAAGCATAGTTTTCCTCCGAACAACCGTTTTCTCCGTACGGCCGATTAGAAACTCTTTATTTCTTGTGTTGCAGAATATTTCAGAAGGATGGCACTAAAGTAGCAATAGACTCGACGTCGTTGGAATACGTGAGGGGGTCGACGATAGAGTATCACGCGGAACTGATACGATCTGCCTTTAGAATAACGAACAACCCTTTAGCCGAACAGGGATGTAGCTGCGGCGCTAGCTTTGCTATTAAAGTAGATTAGACGATGATGGATGTGGGCGTACCGTTACGTATATAATCGGCTAATGAGAGAGTGGCTGGCTTGTAAATTAATGTAAATTTTCGCTGTATACCGAAGATTAATTATACTTTATTTATAATTAGTACGCGCGAGGCAATACATATTTTATATAATTGCTCTGGCGAAATGTACATTAATTTTATCACAACACCTACTATAAACAGTAGCTGTACATATCTCTTACACATCTCTTTTCTTTAATATAGAAAGAATGGCTTATAATTTACAGTCGGGTAGGTGTCGGATTTATATTTTATCTATAAACGGTCTAACTACAAATGTCGTACAAGTGAGTACCAAAAAAAAGAGCATTTGTCTCTTCTTTCATTAACGAATTTAGTATTGTAAAATTTATCCTGTACCAAGTGTCGGTAAATATCGCTGTTAAGATAATTATGAGCAAATGAGAGTAATCGTTGCACATATACAGTATAGTTAAACTTATAATATAAACAACGTTCGTAAAAAGAAACGTTGTCGATGAGTTTCTCTTTTATTTTGATTTCATAAATAACGCAACATTGAGTTAGAGAGCTCTTTAGCGCTTCTCCAGGCTAAAGACACGAGTATGCGCAAAAACCAGTGGCTTTCCAGAGCTATAAATATGTACATAAAATTTAATTAATGATCGCGATTAAACCATACCACTGAATGGAATGTCGATGATTGTTCTTTGCAATTCTGACCTGGATCACTTCTGCTTTCCCTTTTTACTATTCTGAAAAAAAAAAAATTACGCCATCGATAAATTAAACGTCCCCACAAATGTGACAGTTTCTCACACTAAAGCCTGTGTATCCTTACCTTGTTAGCTAGTTCGAATTTCAATTGCTGTATCTCCTCCGTTTGGAAGATAAGTTTCTCGTTCATATTGGCAAGATGTTCGCTCATGGTATTGAGCTGTACCTTGTAATTCGCCTCCTGCGCCTCCTTCTCTTTTTGTACACTGTTACAACTGGAAAGCGTCTCTAACAGCGTCGTTTCGCACTTCTCTCGCTTTGATTCGCTGGTATCTAATTGCACGTGCATAACTTCGCTCTGAAACACGAATGTGAGATATAGAAGCGTACGCGCGTCGTTTACCGAAAACAAGATTGAAAATATATCTCATTACATTGGCGGCCATGGCTACATTTTTAATGTGGTAGACGTGTTTCTCGTTCGTCAATCTCTCAATCTCTTCTAGGAAGTAATCCCTAATTTTTAATTCACGCGCTTCGATCTCCTCCGGTATGGCAAAGGGTGCACTCAATTTCCCAATCTGTCAACGAAAGAGAGAAAGTCGATACATAATAATTCAGTTTAACGTTAGACACATATATTTCTAGGAATGAAAATGGTACACAAAATAATACACACCATATTACTTATCTCCACAGGTTTCAATGCGTCGCTATCAATTTGCGAAGTAGCCTCTCTTTGTTCTAATTCGTCATACTTTATCTTGAGTATATGGTACTGGGCTTTCCAATGATTAATTTCCTTCTCTAAGTCACATGATTTTGCATAGAGAAATTCATTGCTCTCCTCCTGTGACTTTTGCGGCTTTCCCTCCCCGAGCGACTTGGACGATCTGCGCGAGGCAGACGGCGAGGAGAACGGCGACGGTTCTGCCTGGCGATGATTCGAGAGCGCCCCTCTCGCATCGAAATCGCAACCATCGCGCCTACCCTCGTTACTCGACCACGACACAGTCTCCTCCTGCTTCTGCCTGTCGTTCAACTTCCTCTGCAAGTCGTTCCTCTCTCTCTCCAATTTGTCTACGGCGCCCTGATACTGGCACTCGGACTCTACCTTGGACTTCTCGCAATAGTCGATCTTACACTCCAGCTGCTGTATCCTGTCGTACAGACTTTCAATTTCGCTGTCCTTGTCGCTGATCTGCGACAGCAGTTGAGCATTCTCGACGATCTTCTTCTGAAACTCCTCGTCTAGGATGTTATTCGGCGGCGGCGGCGGCAGCAGCGGCGCCGGGATCTGACTGTTGTTCTCCGACGCTCTGCTGCCCTTACCACGCTTGGGCTTGTTCTGCGCCTTGTCGAGCTCGTCCTGCAGCACGGTTATACGCTTCGTCAGCTGCTGATTGCGGAACGTCAGGCTGTCGATCTCCTGCTCGGCCCGGCGAAACTCCACCTCCCTCTCCTTCAGCTGATTCCGGATGTCGGCGTTACGCGCTTGCTCCTCTATCACAGCCTTCTTCAGTACGTTCGCTTGCGCACGAATCTGCAAATTAGGTCCCCCCGCCCCCCCCTCGTTTTAGTTTACACATCAAGCAGAAAAAACGGATAGAGCGAAGGGCCACACACACCGCACACACACACACACGAGAGAATTGTGCGGGGTGCGTGGCGGCCACGCTACTATCGTAAACATACAAAAAAAAACCTCTGCCTTTTTACGAGAGTGCCTCACTTTTGAGTATTCCGTGGCGATTTTCTGATACTTGGTCTGCAGCTGACCGTTGGCACCCTCCATACCTTCCTTCCCCAACCTACCTACCGCGCTACCCCGGTTAACGCGTGTCCTCTCCCGTCCTCGCCTCGCGCGGATGTCACAAAGTTATCGACACCTGGACATCGTTTTTCTCACGAGACCTTCGGGTGTTGCGCTCGCGGCGCCGGGGCACGCATCGCGCGTTTTCCTGGTGATGACGTCGGCGCGCGGCGTTGTTTATCGACGAGTCAGCAAACACACACACCTCCGGCCCGAGGGGGGCGGCGTGGGAGGAGGGGAAGGGGGGGAAGGGAGAGGGCAGCAGAGCGATTTACGTTAAGCCGCGATCGGCGAAGCCCCGTAACTACTGCGGCCGTCCCGTAACTCCCCATCAAACGCGCGATCAGCATACGCGGACGCTCCTCGAAGCGGCGTGAGGAGCTGAGGAGCCGTGGGGGAGAAAGAGGGAGGGAGGGAGAGAGTGAGAGAGAGAGAGAGAGCGTTCACACCGTAAACGCGCGCTCTTCAATGAAACGCCCCCGAAACGTGATATCACACGCGCGCCATACCGAGCGGTCCCTGCGTGCGTGCGTGCGTGCGTGCGTGAAGCGAACGTCAGTAATGTCACATCGTCGCCGACCGGATGGATCAGTGCTGGCGCACTGGTTATACTTTGAAAAACGCGACTCGCGCGGGGCGGACACTCGCCGATACCGTATCGGCCGCGTATCGCGTATCACAAAGCGCGCTCCTCCTCGTAGCCGAGCATCTTTCTCGCTCACTCTCTCTCTCTCTCTCTTCCACCGACGCCCGACCGCACGCCCGCTCCCGTTTCAAGTGCAGAAGGTACAAGCGCGGTGCAGATGCGCGGACGAGAGCAGATCCCTCGCGCCGTGTAAATTATATGCAACGAACGATAATCGTCGCGAGCGAGTGATAAGGGGAGCCGAACGGAGCAGAGGCCTTTATCGCGCGGAAGTTGTCGTGAATTTTTTTATGGCGATACTTTTGGCCGTTTCCCAGACGAACAAGAATTTCGATTCAACTCTAACACGTATATTATTTATTGTAGGTATGAAAATGTTATAATTTATTGAAGAATTTGATTACGCGCCTAAATTTCTAGGTTATTAGAACGCCTTTTGAAATAGGTCGAATTTATGATTTAATCGCCCTCCTATTATTTCTGATAAAAAGCAATTTCATTCCCCACTATTTTGCAATTAATTGAATATTATACATTTCTATTTTATAAGCAAGAGATTTTTTTAGACACATCGAGAATTCGTATCGTAAAAAGTTCCAAATTTGCGATAATTCAATCTTATCGATTTAGTTTAATTCCATTGCTGCAGATTTGATTCGTAAAAGAAATTAATTATCAAGAAGTTATTTCTTGTTGAAAAATGCGAATATCTATAGTATGTTGAATCTATAAAGAATTAAAAAATTATAGTTTGGCATTAAAACAATCGCCCGTTCCGTGCTTTACTTGCCACGTAAAATTTTAATAATTTTAATTGTTAAATAAAAATTGGTCATCAAGAAGTTAACACATTCAATAAGCCAAATTTCAGTAAATATTAATTTTAATAACTTTATTTTTTTATATTTTTATTATATTTATTTTATCTTATATATACTTTACCATAAAACGCGAGACGTGTCGATAACTTCGCGTTCACAATTATCGATGTGCGGTCCTCGGTATGATACCGACTATGCAGGAATAAAATGTAGCCGACCGTGAAGAGATGGCGCTATTGACGTATAATATTCAAACGAAGTTCAACTGCGGACGGTGAACGCTTCGATTTTTCGGCCGAACGTTTCTCGCGTCTTTTTAATCGATTTATTCGAGTCGTACGTGCATAAAGTGCGTGGATTTGGGTCGCGTTCGCGAAGTATATCGACGGCATCGCGAAAGCAAGTCTGCAGCGTTCGCAACATCGCAGATTTTTGAGTATATGTCGTCGGCGTCTCTCGAAGCACGTCCTTCGTTCCGGATTCGCACGTCGCACTCGGCAAAAAATGCCGGCGTCGCGCTCTTCGGTAAAGATCAAATTCTGTCTATCTTTATCCGCATATTGCGATTTAAATCCTTCCACGTGAAATTTTAATTGTCCCAACGTCCACTTATGTCGAATGTCTCGCAGACAATGTATTTCGTAAGAGTTTATACGTGTAAATCGATTAGTCGATAAAATATGCAAGGTGAAGGATATAAATATATATATATGTATAGCGCGGGACGCGCAGTCGTAGGCGAGCGAGATGGAGATGCATGTGCACAAATTTGCGTTTCCTCTCGCAGAAACGAGGAAACGTACGTGGACTCGGGCGGCTCTGTCTCGCTTGGGGAATCGGCTCGCGCTGCGAATGCACGATGATACGCGGAGTCAAAATGCTAAAATGCGGCACGTTCGTCTAGGTCTAGGAGTCCAGGCTCCTCCTTTCTCTCTCTTTCGCGTTTCTTCCCTTGTCTCCCGCTTACTCTCTACCCCTCTCCCCTCGTCCCTCCCCCCCCATTTGTTCCCTTTGCTCCCAGCGCGCTTATTATTCCCCGTTTCTTTTGCAGCGAAGACGGACGCGACATATTTGTCGACGGATACAGCGGATCTTCCATCTCGTTCTTCCCCGCCTCCTCCTCTCCTCTTCTCGACGTGCCGCCGTCCTCGGGGTGTATATATATCCTCCTGCCGGAAGCGAGGACCTCGTCAGGAGGGAGAGTCAGCGGCCGCGCGCGGGTGAGTCTCGATTTCTCTTTTTCCTCTCCTTGCCCGGCACGCGTCCGCGTGCCGAGATACGTTTACGTATATCTCCGCATTAGTCATGCTTGTTGGAGAGCCACCTTCTTTTTCGGCGCGGGAGGGGGGGATCTTATCTTCATCCCGGACGCGCGCCGCATTAAGTAGCTCGCGACCCCCGTGTTACGCGTGCGTTACGCACCGTCGCCGAAGCGCGTGTAATTCGTACCGATTGTCCCTCCCTCCCTCCCGACGATCCTTGTCTCGTCCAGCAAAACGAAACGCGTCGAATGCGTTGTGACTTCACGTCGGGATTTATGTCGTAAATCCACTCAAACCTCCTATCGTTCTGCCTGACATCTCTATCTCGCTTTGAATATCTTTAAATTTAGCATTCAACTCACGATTAACTCTCTTATTCTCAATTTAAATTTCTAAATTATTGTAATTAAATAATAATAAAAATAAAAAATAGCGAAGGAGATGTCTCGCTAATTTAATTACGGTTTTAAATTTAAGCACAAAATTTTTGGGAAAGGGGATGCATTTAAACTTGCAAATCGATAACGTTTCACGGATAGAAAAAATAGTATCATAGTATCAATAAATCATATTAATAAAAATACAAAATATATTCTCTTTTACAATATTTTGTCGTAAATTTATAACATTAAAACATTTATTACGACAAAATTGACAATTGCATGTGTACTTTTATTAGTCATGTTAGTAAAATTATAATACGCATTGCAAAACGTTACATAGGCATTTTAAACTCTGCTGCTGATATGTAAAAACTTACGATTAACGTAATATTGCAGTCAGTAAATTTTTTTCGTTGCGTCTAAAAACCTGCTACACTGATATTGTAATTTTTAGTTCGAACATAGCGGAACGAACAACTTGCGTAAAAGCAACTATAGAGCATTCGGGCTGCAAAATTTTTTTTTCGCCTCAATGGAATTTGATTACGTTAAATTGTACATTATAAAATATTCGAAAAATTACAATAATCCTTTTTTCCGTAAAATATAAAACGTAATATCTTTGAATAAAAATATCGTAATTTTCATCCATATATTAATACTCCGGTATGTATTCCAGTATAACAAAAACTTTATTGCGATCTTTGCTACAATATTTTCTCCGTACTTGAAGTATAATTCGATATTCCGTTGTATAAAAAAAAGTATTTTTAGAAGTTTCTAACGTTTATGGTATATGAAAATTGTTAGTAAACGGTTGGATTTCTGTAAATGTGTTCCACGAACCAACAGTTTGAGTTTGTATTCTCAGTTAATTGACTTTAGAATGTTTTTCCGACTGCGTCACAAAGTTATCTCTCGGCAGGCAAGTAATTCCATCTAACGTTATGCTATAAAGGGAGAAATTTAAATACCACCGGGCTTCTTCGGTTACACACGCGGGCTTTCAGTTACGTTTTAGCAAAAAGAGCACGGTAATGACGCGATGTCCCTGCGAGGAGCGCGTTCGAACGATGTTTAGCGGCGCGATTTTCACGGTGATTAAATTACAAACAGAGGGTGTGTGTGTATGTGTGTGTGTGTGTGTGTGTGGAAAAAAGCCAACTTTCGAAAGTGGTGGAAAGCGACTCGGTGTGATATCCGGTATATCGTCGAAGAGGTGTCGTCGCTCGAGAGTTCGTGTGTCAATCGGCCGACCGGTCGGAGCGAAAGACGTTTTCTCGAAGTGTTTCCTTGTTAAAGTATGCGTTACAGGAGTAGAAAACCGCCACTGCGCTGCTCGACCGCGAACGTTTCGGCCCGTTTTAACCGACATCGAGGAATTTACCGTTTGTAACGGTCGCAAAAAGAAGCAAATCGAGGAGAGGGGGTGAGAGTGAGAGAGAGAGTCATGTGACCCGAAACTTCTAGATAGCAACGCGGGCGCGGCAAAGAGACGAGCGTCGGAGGGTGGCATGGCACGAGGGGGAGGAGGTTCGCCCCCCGAGGGCGAGAAGCGAGATAGGAAATAGCTGAAGCGCTCTCTTCCTTATCCCGATCCTTCGGAGAATTTAATCTTTTTACGTTCGTCGCGCGCGTTCAAACATTCGCGTAAAGATTCGCCCGTCGCGCACGTTCGTCGGACAACGCCGTAAATATCCGTCGCCGAGAGGGGAATTTTTGCGTCGGTACGAAACTGCTGTCCTTCCCGTTTCTTTCCGGTTTTTGTAGCGCATTCTACCTGCACGTTAATGCTACACGGACAACTGAATCGTATGCTTTTATCGGAATTTGTGGAGTTAGCCCGAAAAGAGGAAATAATCTCATTACGGCATGGCGAAATTCATATATGTAACAATTGATGAGATTTGAATTATTCACAATTCGATTTCTTTAATTCTTAAATGCATTTTGAAATTGTCTGAACAACTACGTATTGATCTACTAAATTCTTTGTATTTTTATTCTCTACATTAAATGTATTTACATTTGAATATAATTTATTCGATAAAAATTTATACAGTCTTTTATTGTGCCAGATAAAATTCTATTTAAATAAAAAATAATGCTTTACATACAATCATTTATTTATATATAAAGATATTACATATTTGATAAGAGCTATAATAATTTCACAATCGCAGAAGATAAAATTATTACAGCTTTTTTAATATATTATAATTCCTAGCGAATTTTTGTTCGAAAAAAAATGGATGATTTATGAGATACCGTGCACACACAATCACTATGAGTATTCTCCTGGTTTGC